CCATGGAAAGTTTCAATTTTGTGGAAACTATTTTCCATCAAAAAACATTTTTGATGGAAAAATCTCAGCCAGCTGTAGTATGAACTGTTGGGGGAGAGAGGCAGGACAGATTATCTTAATGCAAACTTGATCCTTTTAGTTCACACCAACAGGATCTACATGGGGTGGTTATTTTGCAGATTGTTAAAGCACTTTACAAAGCACATGCTCTAATGTGCTTTGCCAGCACTTTGTAGACAAGCCCATAGACAGAATTTCTTAGGGCTTGTCTACACTAAAAAATGCTGCAGGGGCACAACTGTTTCCCTGCAGGGCTTCAGTGTAAACACCATCTACGCTGACAGGAGGGGTTCTCCCACTGGTATATGTAATCTACCTCCCCGAGAGGCGGTAGCTAGGCTGACAGACGAACTCTTCTGTTGGCCTAGCACCGTCTACACCAGTATTTAAGTCAGCTTAACTACGCTGCTGGGGGGATTTTCACACCCTGGATTGATGTCTAGTGTAGACCAGGCCTTAGACTTCTCCTTTCTGAACATATCTATTCATTTTCCTTGAATTGTATCTCCCTGAGATTGTCTGTTGGAGCTATTTGGTGGGATAGATTTGGCAAAAAAAAAGTATGAGAATGGAAAGATATCAGTCATGCAGCTAGAAAGAGCTGTTTAATTGGATGGTCTATCCTAAATGTTGGCACAACTAAAATATTCCTCTGCTGTAACTGTTCTTCTGAAACCTCTAGTAACAGAATTTGGAAGCTTTTTTGCATCTTGGGAAATAAATACAATAAAAACCATTCTTCTTTGTCTCCTTCTGATGCCAATTTGCTAGAAAGCCCTGCCAGTACTCAAATGGTTACCTGATGAGTTAGTGTTGTATAATGCACACATTACTTGCTAAGTATTAAGCTCACTGATTCTTTAAACCCATTCTGCCAATACTATAAATAGAAAGAATAAAAGTCAGCTAATGCCTATCATCTTTCTAAAGGACTGATGAGGTGCCTGACAGATGACTCTTAGCTAACCACTTTTTGTTCCCAAAACAAAGTTTTAAGGAGTACTATAGCTGGTAATCTTCCCACTGGTGAGCTTTCCAAACAGCTCCCAGAGATTCAGACCTTGAAGAACCCTTAATGGGTACAAATATTTAAGGGGCATTTTCCTTTTCCCTGTTCAGAGTTTGAGTTGCTGGGCCATGAGTAGTCCTCTGGACTTCAGGAATAGGCTCTTATATAGGTTGACCTGCTGCCTGGATATTTGCATGACCCTCCAGTCCAATTAATGACCATGTGTCTAAATAGTAATTTGCACTTAGTGGATAAGTTACTTATAATTAAGGCTCTGTGTTTGTCATGAAGGTCACAGATTCTGTGACTTTCTGTGACTTCCGTGATTTCTGCAGTGGCCTATGCAGCTGGCCCGGGAGCCACCTGAGCAGCTCAGGCAGCCCTGCTGCTGGGGCAGGCTCGGGCCCCCCTCCCCCAACAGCAGGAGTTTAGGTATGGGGGGCTCAGGGCTGGGGTGCAGTGCTTACCTGGGGGGCTCCCCAGAAGAGTGACAGCAACTCCCCTCCGTCAGCTCCTGGTTCCACACGCTGCCTCTGACCACAGGCACCACCCCCGCAGCTCCCACTGGCCGCGGTTCCCAGCCAATGGGAGCTACAGAACCGGGGCTTGGGACGGAGTGGAGGCAGCACGTGGAACTAGGAACTGGGGTCGCCGCTTCCCAGGAGCCAGGTAGGGAGCCTGCCCCAGCCCCACCAACCCCCCTCCCCCATGGCTTTAGTCGGGGGGTATATAGTAAGTCATGGACAGGTCACGGGTCGTAAATTTCTGTTTAGTGCCTGTGACCTGTCCATGACTTTTACTAAAAATACCTGTGACTAAAATGTAGCCTTATTTATAATACTATGCAATATTCAATGGTGTAGTAACAGGTCAAGTTTTACAAACTCGACTTTCTACTGCATTTGAACCAGATTAAGATTTTGGATCAGGTCTGATCACAGTCAATGGGATTGTTTCCATTGACTTCGGCAGGGTTTGATTCAGACCCTAAACATATAGGATCAGATGTGGTGTAAGTGGAGTCAAGTTGCAGCTGTTTCTATCAAGGCTAAATTCGTCCCTTATCTCTAATTTGAAATAATAATGTGGAGTTTTTACTATGATGTATATCAATTATTTTATGTAGGATATTTGATAAACTATGTAGCAGTGGAAGTAATTCAGCTTTACTTTTACAAAGATAATCCACCTAAAAAAAAATTCAGCACTAACTATTTGTTTAACAAACGGATGTACTGATTTTAATCTGTGCTTACTTTAAATTGTCGTCTTGAAGGCATTCCAAATTAAACATTTGATGGACAGCAATTGGGCATGTTGCCAATCTACTGCTAAAGCACTGAAACAGTAGCACCTATAAACCTGCATCCCTAAACATTCTTATGAAACGCTCGGTCTACAGATGCCAATAGAGGCATCACTTATTTTAGACATCCGCCTGGTGCCAGCCCACATAAACCTGCTGTCTCACTTTTTATACACATTAATCAGATGTATAAATAAATAAAGCCTCGCTGTATATTATAATGCAACATTATTTGCCTGAGATTTCGAAATGCTTTGTAAAGGTGGGTAAGAATGATTCTCAAACCTGTTTTATGAGGTAACTGAGGCACAAAGATACTAAGTGATTTGTCTAAGGTCTTTTACTGGAGGTGGGCAAAATTTTGAGCACAAAACCTTTTCTCAGTGAACATGCAGATTTTGGGATGACTAAAACAATTTGTGATTTGGGTCAATTTCAGCAAGTTGGTTTAGTCAGAAGATTTTTTTCTAAATGTTGAAAACTGTTAAAACAGTTCATTTTGGCATTTCTGAACAAAGTGTTTTTGTTTCAGAAACATGTTCCATTTCATAATTTCCCTTTGCTTTATTTAAGAAAAACATTAAAAAGTTTGTCCAAATTCCAAAAACAAAATCATTTGTGACTTTGGGTTAAAAAAAATGGTTAGACCTGTGAACCACAAAACAAATAAAAAGAGACAGTAGCAGTGAGTCAATTGCAGTTTGGAATCGAACCACACTCCCAGTCCCCTGCCTCCCAAATATTGAAAGTGAGGTTGTAGGAAACATTCAGATCTAGTGTTGATTACTGGTAGCTCCCTCCTTTCTGGCCTCCTTCATACCCACGACACCTCTCTAGTGCATACAAAATACAACTGTTGAGATAATCTTTCTTGCCTTCTGCTCTGACTCTCACATTATACTCTGAATCCTTCCACTGCGTCCCCCCTCATTCCATCAAGTAGAAGCTTCTTGCCCTGACCTTGGAATCCCTTCACAAACTGCCCTTTGATAGTTAATCACTTTCTCATTGCATTTGCCTTCCTATTACTCTGCCCTGCTGCAGACCCCTGTTTGGTACACATGCTGTCATATCTATTACCTTCTTCCACTTCAGATCCTTCTCAAGACCTATTTCTACTGTGATGCTTAACAGAAATTAGCCATTTAGTAACAGCAACTAGTTAGAGGGGCATTTGGGGATAGCTCATCTTTATTCATTAATGTTAGATGACGGTAGGACCATGATTTTTTTTTTGGTATGTGGATGGCTTAACACAATGTACATGCTACCAGAATGCAAAGAACAAACATTAATAAAAAGAAATTAACCCCACACTATCCCTAGACCCCAATTCAACCAAATACACACGCGCATGATTAACTTGAAACATGTTTGGTCTCATTGACTTCACTGGGATTGCTCACATGCTTAAAGTTGCTACACACATTAGTTCCTTGTTGCATCAGGGCCCTAGTTTTTATGAGGGTCTTATTTTTGATCTTATACATTAGATTGTTATGACACATTTGGATCTTGGAAGGTTGACAGCTAAGGTAAGACATCCACTGGATTTGCTCCACACAGTTCTTTGACTTTCTACTTCATTATATTATGTTGTTGATCTAGTTCTTATTGAGTCACACACACATTTACAAAGGCCCTACAAGGTTTAACGTGGAAACGTAACAGTGATTCATCATTGTAACAAATTGTAACTGTTCCCTCAGTCCCTCTATTTTTAGAAACATTTACAACCAAAACTGAAAAATTAGCTTTTATAACTTGATACGGCCATAGCATTAGTTCTTGGGTACAACCCAGGACAGTCTGGGTTTTTTTGTACCTCATGTAATTAAGACCCATTTGTTGATCTATATAGAATAAGGAAAATTAAATACCACATTTGCAGGGGTTTTTTTAGGAGGAAGTTTAAGCTAAAACAAACCCAATCAGTATGACTTTGTATTTGTTAATGTTAGCACAAATAAAAGTTAGGGAATTATTTACAGCAGGAACACCTGTGCTACACACCATTAAGCAACAAATTTTAGTCTCACACAGTTCTTTCCTATCTTAAGGTGATTCAAAGTTAAAGACTAGACATAGAACAGTCTTCCAAAATAGATTTACCTTTCAGTTAAGGAGTCTCATTATAGTGTGTAATCAACATTATTTTCTATTGTTAGTAGATATTTAATTGTTAGACAAATTATGAATGATATCTAAATATGATTAGATTGCTTAGTTACATTAATTTTTCCCAAATGTTACAACCATTTCTAGTAGCATAGGGCCAGATTTTCACTTAGGTGCATTCAATCCCACCCAAGTGTAACAGCATAAAACTCTGAGTGGTAGCATGTTAGTCTGTATCAGCAAAAAGAACAAGGAATACTTGTGGCACCTTAGAGACTAACATATTTATTTGGGCATAAGCCAAATAAACTGAAGATTTCCTGGACAGATGTCAGGATATGCTTCTACGGGCAAAACGTTCTGAAGATTCAGAGCAGGCTGCGCAGCGGGGACAGGAGGACGGGAAAGACATTTGGCACCATGGGACCTCCAGAAGAAGAAAGGGGAGCGTCCATGTACCAGCAACGCAGATACAGGTAAGTAACCATTTTCATGTTCTCTCCACAGGTACTAATGCGGAGAGTGGACTAGATGATACATCTGAGGGAAGGGAACAGAAGGAGACTGCACCCATTGGAAGGCATGAGATGCACTGTCCCAGGGTTGGGGGTTCCACGATCACCGCTCCCAAGAGAAGGAGGCGGATGGTGGTGGTCAGGGACTCTCTCCTCAGGGGGACTGAGTCATCTATCTGCTGCCCCGACCGGGAAAACCGAGAAGTCTGCTGCTTGCCAGGAGCTAGGATTCACGATGTGACGGAGAGACTCCCGAGACTCATCAAGCCCTCGGATTGCTACCCTTTCCGGCTTCTCCACGTGGGCACCAATGATACTGCCAAGAATGACCTTGAGCGGATCACTGCAGAGTACGTGGCTCTGGGAAGAAGGATAAAGGAGTTTGAGGCGCAAGTGGTCTTCTCGTCCATCCTCCCCGTGGAAGGAAAAGGCCTGGGTAGAGACTGTCGAATCGTGGAAGTCAATGAATGGCTATGCAGGTGGTGTCAGAGAGAAGGCTTTGGATTCTTTGACCATGGGATGGTGTTCCAAGAAGGAGTGCTTGGCAGAGACGGCCTCCACCTAACGAAGAGAGGGAAGAGCATCTTCACAAGCAGGCTGGCTAACCTAGTGAGGAGGGCTTTAAACTAGGTTCACTGGGGGAAGGAGACCAAAGCCCTGAGATAAGTGGGATACCGGGAGGAAGCAGGAGCGTGCGAGAGGGCAGGGCTCCTGCCTCATACTGAGAAAGAGGGACGATCAGCGAGTTATCTCAAGTGCCTATACACAAATGCAAGAAGTCTGGGAAACAAGCAGGGAGAACTGGAAGTCATGGCACGGTCAAGGAATTATGATGCGATTGGAATAACAGAGACTTGGTGGGGTAACTCACATGACTGGAGTACTGTCATGGATGGATATAAACTGTTTAGGAAGGAGAGGCAGGGCAGAAAAGGTGGGGGAGTTGCACTGTATGTAAGGGAGCAGTATGACTGCTCAGAGCTCAAGTATGAAACTGCAGAAAAACCTGAGTGTCTCTGGATTAAGTTTAGAGGTGTGAGCAACAAGGGTGATGTCGTGGTGGAAGTCTACTATAGACCACCGGACCAGGGGGATGAGGAGGACAAGGCTTTCTTCCGGCAACTCACGGAAGTTACTAGATCGCAGGCCCTGGTTCTCATGGGAGACTTCAATCACCCTGACATCTGCTGGGAGAGCAATACAGCAATGCACAGAAAATCTAGGAAGTTTTTGGAAAGGGTAGGGGACAATTTCCTGGAGCAAGTGCTGGAGGAACCAACTAGGGGCAGAGCTCTTCTTGACCTGCTGCTCACAAACCAGGAAGAATTAGTAGGGGAAGCAAAAGTGGATGGGAACCTGGGAGGCAGTGACCATGAGATGGTAGAGTTCAGGATCCTGACACAGGGAAGAAAGGAGAGCAGGAGAAGACGGACCCTGGACTTCAGAAAAGCAGACTTTGACTCCCTCAGGGAACTGATGGGCAGGATCCCCTGGGAGAATAAACATGAGGGGAAAAGGAGTCCAGGAGAGCTGGCTGTATTTTAAAGAATCCTTATTGAGGTTACAGGGACAAACCATCCCGATGTGTAGAAAGAATAGTAAATATGGCAGGCGACCAACTTGGCTTAACTGTGAAATCCTTGCTTATCTTAAACACAAAAAAGAAGCTTACAAGAAGTGGGAGATTGGACAAATGACCAGGGAAGAGTATAAAAATATTGCTCGGGGATGCAGGAATGAAATCAGGAAGGCCAAATCACACCTGGAGTTGCAGCTAGCAAGAGATGTTAAGAGTAACAAGAAGGGTTTCTTCAGGTATATTAGCAACAAGAAGGTGGTCAAGGAAAGTGTGGGCCCCTTACTGAATGAGGGAGGCAACCTAGTGACAGAGGATGTGGAAAAAGCTAATGTACTCAATGCTTTTTTTGCCTCTGTCTTCACGAACAAGGTCAGCTCCCAGACTACTGCACTGGGCAGCACAGCATGGGGAGGAGGTGACCAGCCCTGTCATAAATATAAAGGGAAGGGTAAACCCCTTTGAAATCCCTCCTGGCCAGGGGAAAGCTCCTCTTACCTGTAAAGGGTTAAGAAGCTAAAGGTAACCTCGCTGGCCAAAATGACCAATGAGGAGACAAGATACTTTCAAAAGCTGGGAGGAGGGAGAGAAACAAAGGGTCTGTGTGTCTGTCTATATTCTGTCTTTGTCGGGGATAGACCAGGAATAGAGTCTTAGAACTTTTAGTAAGTAATCTAGCTAGGTATGTGTTAGATTATGATTTCTTTAAATGGCTGAGAAAAGAACTGTGCTGAATAGAATAACTATTTCTGTCTGTGTATCTTTTTTGTAACTTAAGGTTTTGCCTAGAGGGGTTCTCTATGTTTTGAATCTAATTACCCTGTAAGGTATCTACCATCATGATTTTACAGGGGGGATTTCTTTATTTCTATTTACTTCTATTTTTATTAAAAGTCTTCTTGTAAGAAAACTGAATGCTTTTTCATTGTTCTCAGATCCAAGGGTCTGGGTCTGTAGTCACCTAGGCAAATTGGTGAGGCTTTTTACCAAACCTTGTCCAGGAAGTGGGGTGCAAGGTTTTGGGAAGTATTTTGGGGGGAAAGACGCATCCCAAACAGCTCTTCCCCAGTAACCAGTATTAGTTTGGTGGTGGTAGCGGCCAATCCAAGTTCAAAGGGTGGAATATTTTGTACCTTGGGGAAGTTTTGACCTAAGCTGGTAAAGATAAGCTTAGGAGGTTTTTCATGCAGGTCCCCACATCTGTACCCTAGAGTTCAGAGTGGGGGAGGAACCTTGACAAGCCCTCTGTGGAGAAAGAAGTGGTTCGGGACTATTTAGAAAAGCTGGACGAGCACAAGTCCATGGGGCCAGATGCACTGCATCCGAGAGTGCTAATGGAGTTGGCGGATGTGATTGCAGAGCCATTGGCCATTATCTTTGAAAACTCATGGCGATCGGGGGAAGTCCCGGATGACTGGAAAAAGGCTAATGCAGTGCCCATCTTTAAAAAAGAGAAGAAGGAGGATCCTGGGAACTACAGGCCAGTCAGCCTCACCTCAGTCCCTGGAAAAATCATGGAGCAGGTCCTCCAGGAATCAATTCTGAAGCACTTAGAGGAGAGGAAAGTGATCAGGAACAGTCAGCATGGATTCACCAAGGGCACGTCATGCCTGACTAATCTAATTGCCTTCTATGATGAGATAACTGGCTCCGTGGATGAGGGGAAAGCGGTGGACATGTTGTTCCTGGACTTTAGCAAAGCTTTTGACACGGTCTCCCACAGTATTCTTGCTAGCAAGTTAAAGAAGTATGGGCTGGATGAATGCACTATAAGGTGGATAGAAAGTTGGCTAGATTGTCGGGCTCAACAGGTAGTGATCAATGGTTCCATGTCTAGTTGGCAGATGGTATCAAGTGGAGTGCCCCAAGGGTCGGTCCTGGGGCCGGTTTTGTTCAATATCTTCATAAATGATCTGGAGGATGGTGTGGACTGCACCCTCAGCAAGTTTGCAGATGACACTAAACTGGGAGGAGAGGTAGATACGCTGGAGGATAGGGATAGGATACAGAGGGCCCTAGACAAATTAGAGGACTGGGCCAAAAGAAATCTGATGAGGTTCAACAAGGACAAGTGCAGAGTCCTGCACTTAGGATGGAAGAATCCCATGCACCGCTACAGACTAGGGACTGAATGGCTAGGCAGCAGTTCTGCAGAAAAGGACCTAAGGGTTACAGTGGACGAGAAGCTGGATATGAGTCAACAGTGTGCCCTTGTTGCCAAGAAGGCCAATGGCATTTTGGGATGTATAAGAAGGGGCATTGCCAGCAGATCAAGGGACATGATCGTTCCCCTCTATTCAACATTGGTGAGGCCTCATCTGGAGTTCTGTGTCCAGTTTTGGGCCCCACACTACAAGAAGGATGTGGAAAAATTGGAAAGATTCCAGCGGAGGGCAACAAAAATGATTAGGGGACTGGAACACATGACTTATGAGGAGAGGCTGAGGGAACTGGGATTGTTTAGTCTGCGGAAGAAAAGAATGAGGGGGGATTTGATAGCTGCTTTCAACTACCTGAAAGGGGGTTCCAAAGAGGATAGCTCTAGACTGTTCTCAGTGGTAGCTGATGACAGAACAAGGAGTGATGGTCTCAAGTGGTAGTGGGGGAGGTTTAGGTTGGATATTAGGAAAAACTTTTTCACTAGGAGGGTGGTGAAGCACTGGAATGGGTTACCTAGGGAGGTGGTGGAATCTCCTTCCTTAGAAGTTTTTAAGGTCAGGTTTGACAAAGCCCTGGTTGGGATGATTTAGTTGGTGTTGGTCCTGCTTTTGAGCAGGGGGTTGGACTAGATGACCTCCTGAGGTCCCTTCCAACCCTGATATTCTATGATTAACACCATTATAAATGCCGGAGGCAAAGCGGTGTTTGGGGTAGAGGCTGACAGCTCGCGACCAATGTTCCCTCTAATTTTTGACAGGCCGTGTGTGCAAAAAATTTCTTCTGTGCAAATTGTTGTGCTTCTCTGCAAATTTGTGTGTGCACGGTGTTTCGCCGTGTGCACAGGGTTTAGGATCTGTGTGCATGCGCGCACCTTAGAGGGAACAGTGCTCACGACTCCCCATGTAATAACTTCCCGACCCCCTGGGGGGTCCCGACCCCCAGTTTGAGAACCCCCGATCTAGCCTCTGGAAAACCTGCTTTGGTGCATCACAGAGGTCCCATAGCCAAAGTGCAACTAGGCTACATCCCATAGTTGAGAATAGGGGCATGAAACACCCAAATCACAACTCCCATACAGTGCCACAGTGGCTCTGGTGGATGAAATGTAATAAAAAGGTTTTGTTTCATATCAATTTTATGTCAGAATATCAAATTCTCTTTTGAATAAAGAGGTCAAAATGAACTTCCACTCACGAGGTGGGTTCCGCCTGCTAGGTCTTGCTGCTGCATTTAGTATTGCACACCTTTGCCTGCTCCTGGCACCCCTACCAGCTGTCAGCCTTGCTTGGTGAGTCTTCAGTGGCTCAGCCCATTGGCCAGATCACAGTCAAAAGCAGTCTATTTATCCTTAGTAGGGTCTTCAGTCCTGAGACTGGGGCCCCTTTAAATGTAGCCCTTTGTCTGAGCTCCCAACTCAGTCCTGCCCAATTTGTGGGGTTTACACCACTTTAGTTGTGGCCACGAAGGGAACCCAGGTCTGCCCACTATTTCCCCTGCCCAGGGACTCTATAGACAGCAGCTATGCACTACTCAATTTCAGTTTGTTGGTCTTTTCTTACTTGGCCCCATTTTGCTTCACCCTTACCTCAGGGTTAAGATTCTTAGGGCCTCTGTCTCCCTGCAAGCCCGTCTAAGCAAAATGAAGCCAGAAACAGACTCTTATTATTCCTTAAGTTCCTTTGGGAGCTCCAGAGGGGAGCATTCTTTCTTACTCTGATCCCAACCAGGAACTGACATGCTAAGGCCCTGCAGCTCCTTTTATCTGAGCCTTCTTGACTCTGATTGGCTACTTCCATGAAGCCTCTCTAGGCAGGCCTGGGGGACCCATCTTCACTGCTCCTTTCCTGGGGTGGGGTGTAATAGGACCACGGAGCCTCCTGAAGAGCCTAGTACATCCGGTTACAGAATTGTTTTAAAATTCCTGAGTTGAAATTTGTTGTAACTTTTTATTCTGTGAAAATCACCACTTGTTTGATTTTTCTGGTTGCAATTCAGGACAAAAAATCAAATGTCAAAATATTGCCAGAGAATGGAAAAGCAATTGTAGACTGAAGGCACACAAACGAAAAGCCCATGGGCCATACACAGAGAACCAACCACCATCCACTTGAATGGTTTTTAATACAGCTCCTATTACTTATAGATATATCCATATAGCCCTCCCAATAACTCGTGTTCCTTACAGGATATTCCATGCTGCCATTGGCTTCCCCACCTTCTTGTGGTAGGGGACTATGTAGCGAGTGGGGTGGTATTGCATAGCCACCGTTCTGCTTTGCAAAGCATTCCTACCTGCAGTCAATGCAATTTCCACCCTTTTGCTCTGCTTCAGACCACAGCTTATTTATTTCACAGAGTGACTCTGTTTCTAATCACTATTACTGTGGTAAATACAGCTGTTGAATGATAAGACAGACAGATTTTTACTTTATAATTCCCCCAGCTCCACCTTTGATGTCCTTTACTTGCAGTCACCTCCCACCAACTCTAGTGACTATCTCTGTTGGTGCCCGTTGACAAGTATCCCAACTTTTCACCTCTGGAGATGGAATTCAACTTCTGTTTTAAGTCAAAAATTAAACTGAGTCTTCTGAAGAGAAAAACAGTGTGTTGCGTGTCAATTCCTGTTCTAAGATGATCATTTCTGCTAATTTGGGTCACTGCAGAGGGCTTATATAGGAGGTGGTTATGTCTGTCAGTCAGGGTGGGCCTCAGGAGAGAGGCCCTATCCTGGCAAACTTCCTGCAAGATACAGCTCTTCTGAAACTATGGTAACATATCACTTTTTCTAGAAGTTTTAAACCTTTCTGTAACTGTACACATTGTCACTTATTGTCAAATTATTCCTGACCTGGAATCACAGGGTTACTAAAATCTGCCCAAGGCTATTCCAAAAGGGCCTCGTTAGGCCAAGGGCTAGCTTTTAGTCTTTCATTTCAGAGCCTGATATGACACCATTAGAGTCAATGGGAATAGGAAAGACCCTTAGTAAGTACTGAACTGATTAGAGTTTCCTTTTAGTATGCAGAACAAAAAAGATGTAAAAGTTAGACCCAGGCTCAATTCTTCATAAAGAAAATATTGATTCTGTGAACCCATGCAGAAGGTCACATTATATGCAGTGGAGAAAATTCAGAAAGTAGGGCAAAGATTGTAAATACTAAGCCAGGTTTTTAAAGGGTATTTAGCCATCTACCATGGATTTCACTGTGAGTTAGCCATCAAAATACCACTAAGACTTTGGCTCATTGACCTTGGTGGCCATTAAAATGCAGACTTAAGGCAAACATTGTCTCCAGGATTTTTTCCTTTTCAACACACGTAATAAATTCCATCATTGTAACTATGCTATAATCATGTTAGCAAGGCTTTAATAGGAATGTTTAGTCAGCATGGTGATTTACAAGATTTCTACCAAGCTTTTCTTTCGTATGTCTTTTTTGCAATTTCCCCAGGTCCTACTCATGTGTCTTTCTTTCCTTTGCAGCTGCTGTTATTCAACATAAACAGCTGCTTCCACGCAATATGCCTGTGGATGTATCCTGATAACAAAATTAGCAAGAGACCTCAGAGCTTTTCCTCTAAAAATACCCCAATAGCTCAGTAAACTGGGTGCAAGATCTGTACACCCTCTCTGTGGAGCTGATAGCTATTAAT